CGGTGTATATTTAGTATTCTGTATAAACATCTGTCGTAATTTCTCTTTTTCTCTTTGTTCATAGTTTGGCCTCGTGATCAATTTGGCATTTAAATCTAGCAACATTGTTTTTGGTCAAAATTCATGTGTAAATGGTACCCTGAAATATTCCATATAGACATAGGTCAAAATTTCCCACCCTATAACTCGATCAAATCTCAAAATTGCTCGGCTTCCTGATCAATTTAGCATCTATATATGTCTATCATGTGAAAATGGTACTCTCATATATGCTGTTTTTAAAATTATTTTCGTGGCTTTACATTGATCTTTGTCCTCTGAGAGAATTTGTTGTATACGTGGGGTATACCCGCTAGTAATATAATAATATAAAAAATCTTAATAATATCAAAAAAAGCTTTGTCACGCAGACAATATTAAAATTTACCCAAACAACGGAAATGGCAAAGCAAATATATATAAAAAAAATCGATATTTGTTCTCCTTGTGGGTCAGCTAAGTAAGCAGAATCGGTGTAGAGCCATCAACAGCCTGTATATTGTCACACATACACATACATACAGTGTCCTATATGGTCAGCGGAAACAATGGTTGAATGGTTCAATGTATGCAAATGCGGAAAGTTTCATTTGCATGTGCAATCGACTCGCTTGGCGACGTAAGTAGTTCACTTTTCCAATTGACATTGCAAACAGATTGTGGTCGTAACTTGCTCTGGACTTCACCATTAATAGCATTAAACATACCTTCGGTAATCAAAAGTATAAATGTTACAAACGGAAGAGCTCGACTGCGAGATGCTCTGCTCTAGTGGTGGCCCAAAATTGTATGCTTATCCTAAAAACTGCAACAGAAATACAAATACAATTATCTAATGTGTAGTGATAGATTTAATACGGTCAGACAAATAGAAATACATTTGGCCGTGCAAGGAATACAAAAATATTTATTAAGAAACAATCTTAAGGACAAGAGTGCTCAACGTGCCTAGAAATCAAAGAATATTATAATCATTAAGTTAGTTTTCAGGAAAAACAATTGTTAGGCCTCAGATTTTATTTTAATTTAGTCTAGAAGTTAATTTGCTTAAATGTCAATAATTCTCCTATATACGTTGGAACCACATTTTGTGTGCAACACAATTTTGTTTTCTAATAATATGTGAATTATTGCACGTTCGCATATATTTTTGCGATATCTGGAGAGTATGCTTTTGAATTTATCTCAACCAAAAGCTGTTCCTGATAGCCATAATGTGCCTAATTGATTTATTGCGTAATCCGGCTAAGCAAGACGGCCTCCATTAGCAGCATCTTGCTGTTAATTCTCAACCCATTCATATCAGAATGTCTGCTCACTCATTCATCAATAGGTATTTGGGCGTCTTTGGCTAAGACATTACAAATTCTAGCAAACGCTACATTTTCAGATAGAAAATAGGCATGTCATTAATGTCAATGGCAACTCGCCATTGCACCCGCGCCATAAACTCATACTCAATCCAGTTTGTGCAAGATTTATGTGAGCATTGGAGAAATTTAATCAAACAACGCAACCCTTTTAAGAAACGAAAATCAAACTTCCCATTTGCAACTGGGATAGGCAAAAGTTTCATATAACCTTTCAAAATTGGCCAAAAGGCTGGATACACATTCCATTCGGCTTTTTCACCATTAAATCCGTGCAATTGTATTAAACCTCTTTCTGATTTCAAAGTTACTATACTTGAAGGTACATATAGTACGTTCTTAGGAATCGCTGGGGTAAATTGCAATTCACTTAGCTTATATTGGCTTGGTGGGCAAGCCGTGCAAATGTACCATGCTTTCAATAACCAGCAAGACCAACAACAATAAAAATGTCGAAAACATAGTAAACATTAACGGGAAAACAATTTTCATAAATCTAGAATTATTACCACGGGCCACGTAGGGCCCACAGAATTTAGTAAGCAGCGTGTCCATTGAAGCAACAAATTTGCACATGAAAGATAAGTAAAATTGCTACAGTGAAAAACACAGTCGACTACTAAATACGCTGCAACAACGCACTTAAACATTTTGCCAGCTTATTGAAGAGTAAAAAGGAATATCAGGGAAAAAAGATAATTAAAATATTCGCCTATTGTATCCAAATAAGTGTTTTTCACAGATATAAAAGATTTACTGTATTCCTGCTTTTATATTATTGAAAAGATTAGGCATATCTTGAACCATTTAGAGATGGAAGCACTCCGTCCAATATACGAATAAACTTGCATTCTAGAAACAACAAAGAACGTTGTAATTTACATCGCTGTCAACAAACGATATTTTTCACATATTGCACGCGTATTCTAAGCGCAAGCTGTTTGGGGTTGGTTTTTAGATAAATCCTTAGAAAGGGTCCATTATATAATTTTTGAGCATTCGGCAAACAATCTGCTGGAAGCTAGACATGGCAAAGCCAGCACATAAGTCACATAAATCACTCTTTGTGCGTACTAGTAAATTGGGATACGACCCCAGAAGCGTCCGCGTTTCTCATTGTCTTTTAATTCAATTTGTGTAATCGGCTTGGGGTTCTTTGAAGTCCACTCAAATTTTAATAATTCTCTTTGCATTAAATTTCAAACAAATTAAAAAAGGGCAAAAGTTGTGAGGAAAATCAAGTCAAGTGAGAATCACAGACAACATTTCAAGGGATGAGCGTGAGCCTTTCATTGGATAAAGACATCAACTGTCGCTGAAAAACTGTCTATTGAATAACTTTAGTTAACACAAACAATGAAAGCAAGTGAATGCCACTTGGAAGCTCAAGTGCTTATAGACACACTTTCAGTGGCTTATCAAATATTAAGCTGACGAAAATGGCAGACACATCCAACCGACGCGCACAAAGGACGAACTTATTCACTTTCATATGAGCTTGCAAAACAAATTGAAAAAAAAAAAAAATTAAAAATATTATATTTAGTGTTCTCCTATGTACTTTATGGTACATAATCAGGAATGTGTTTACATGCCTGTCGTTCTCCGAGTAGCACGTAAATACTTACAATACAAATTTGGATAGCTTTACAACTCGCATATCGAAACTCTGGCACTGCAGGTGACAGTTTTCTTGTTAAATCCCGCATCCTCAGAGATTATACGTCTAACGCACTACACATCACAAATTTTGTGGATTTAAATTTGCATATGCAAATTGGCGTCTTTTGTAGTTCATTAATATTCAACTACTTAAGCTACCACAGCATTTCATTCCTTTAACGTTTTAGCCATACAATTAAATCCAAACCTTTTATACGGAAGACAAATATAAACAAGGAAGACGTTCTAGTCGGGAGCTCCCGATTAGCGAATACCCTGAACCCTCTTATTCCAACACCAAATGCAATTCGCGCAACGCGCTCGTTTGAAGTAACATTAGAAAAAAAAAGTTCCCTTGGCAGGGCTCGAACTCGCAACTGACCGTATTACTTGCCGCCGTCTCTACTCAACAGATAAACCAGCAAAAAAAAAAAATAGTTTCCCAACAGCAACACCAATAATTAAGTATTATTGAGAGAAAAAAAAACGAACTAAAATAGCATTAGAGAAAAGTCGCAATTACAATGCTGTTAGAATGCGATAGAATGCGAAGCAGACGCGCATGAATGTGTGTGTGTACATGTATTCACAAATTCTTGACGTTTTCGCTAGCTGTGCCACCCAATTGCGCAGTTACATATAACTTTGGTTTTCTCATAACCGGTCTTAATGAAATTTTCTACAGTATATCTTATTGTATGAAAATACTTGATATATATATAATATTCTAGAAGCAACATTACAAGTTTGGTGACTCTAGCTCTTAGTATTTACCAAAATTGCTAAAAAAAAAAAATTGATGTCGAAATCGATTTTTATCGATTGATTGGAAACGGAGTAAGTTATCGATTATCGGAAATAAACTCGATCTGCGCAGGCACTAGGAGGATCTACATCTGAAAATTCAGGTCTCTAGCTCTTATAGGTTCTGATATCCTTTCGTTGATACATACGGACGGACGGACGTACGCACGGACAGACAGACGGACATGGCTAGATCTACTCGGCTATTGATACTGATGAAGAATATATATACTTTATGGGGTCGGAGATGCTTCCTTCGGCCTTTTACACACATTTGCATTTTGCTCAAATACAATATACCCATTTTTAATGGGTTCAGGGTATAAAAATACACACGGTGACATTTGCCATTGATTTTCAATCAAATAAACAAACAAGTGTGCACATTAGTGCGAATGTTTTCGCCACTTAATACATAGGAGTTGGGTTTTTGATGCACACCTGACAATGTTGTTTACAAACTCCATAATAAAACCAATAGATACGCAAAATGATCTGATACGAGTTTGTAAAGAAGGGAATATCTAGGATCAAGAAACTTTAAGCACATCTGCAGCTAACGTTGGAATTACTATTTCACAGGAACGACAAAACTTTTTATTGTACATAAAATCCACCCAAAATAACATTCCAGAAAAAAATCGATTGGAAACTCTAGTTGCGAGAGATAGAAGATATATTTAATCTTTATACTCTATACTCGTCCGTGCGAAGGCATGAAATGTCAGTTCTAAAAAAAAAAGCAGTCGGGCTGGAAAAATTAATTAAAGCCAATATTAATCCTTAAACTTCCGTCATACATTGGAATACATGAAAAACTCAAAATTTGTAGGGATATGGAAATCGTTTGTCCACAACGCACTCCATGTCAATGCGTGGCTTCGTAGTAAGTGGAAGAATCACCGTGCACGCTCTTATGCGAGGCACTCTGGCTGCAGTTGGAGTATAGTCAAGCAACGTCTGCTTGCCTTTAAGTATTATTCGCTGTTTATGGCAAGCGCCTATTACCAAGATTGGCTCATTTCGTTCTCACGTGCTTTATTGGATGATAATAGGGCTAGAGATCGTGTACTGCAGCAGGATAAGAGTAAAAGTATAAGCCTAATTACTACGTTTTTGACAAAGATGCAAGGTTGGCTGTTGCACGCAAATGCCGAAAAGCTGAATCCCGAAGCTAAGGAACCAAGGGGACTCTTCCCGAAGGCCGAAACTGGCGCCCGCAGAGTAACTTTTCGTGATATTACCATACAGGAATATGAGAACCGACTGCGAGTATACTCACAGCCGGAAAAAATTTTTTGCTACTTTGCCACGATCAAGACAGAGAATGATGCCGGCAAATTGAAAGTTTTTATGACGCCCATCGACTTTTTGCGCTCATTGAGACCAGGCCTAAGACAGCCAGAGGGCTTGGGCTTAAACCAGTTCCGCAGGATGGACAGAGAAGAAATTAAAAAGCTTAAGTGCAGCGGCTTACCGAAGGACAGCATATTTTATAAGCTTCGACCCGATGGCCTCCTCACCTTCTGTGATTTTCTGTACCTGGTCATGCTGCTGACAATGCCAGAGAAATACTTTAAGATGGGGTTCAAACTTTTTGATCAGCAGGGAAATGGTAACCTCAGCATAAGGGATATGAACACTTTACTATTAGGGATCACCCATGATGAGCGATTCAGGAATATCTCTGCTGTACACTTTTATTTTTTTGGGCCTCAGCTCAACCAGAAGCTGAGCCTAGCCAAGTTTCTAGAGTTCAGGCGCCAGTTACAGCACGATGTTCTTCTGCTAGAGTTCAACTTACTTAAGAAGAAGCGTAAGCCAACGGACGCCAATAAACCGCAAAGTAATACAATCAGCGAAGTGTGCTTTGCTAAAATACTGTTAAAATGTTCAGCTATGTCAAAGACTGAGAAGACCAACACTCTGAAACGTATCAACAAGAAGTATCAACCGGTCAAGCGCGGCATAACACAAGATGAGTTCATGTCATTCTTTCGATTCGTTCAACATCTGCCAGACATAGAAACGGCACTGTCCTATCATTATCTTGCAGGTGCAGACATATCCCGAGGAGCACTTAAGCACATTTCTCATGTGCTTGTCGGAGTTCCTCTGTCGGCCCACGTAATCGATGTAATCTTTACAGTTTTCAATACCAAAAACAGCGGGATCCTGGGATGCAATGGCTTCATTGAAGCCTTGCGACATCGCATGTTGCGTTGCAAACACACCTCCTTTAATCTAGAGGATATGTACGGAAGCATCCTAAAGTGTGCAAAGAAAGCGTTGATGTAATAAATTTATATTGCACCAGAATGCCTGTTAGTGTCCCTAAAACTCGAATACCAACATCACAAAGCCACGGCAGCTCTCCACAATGCGGCGCTCTGGTTTGATGCACTTTTCCAAGCTCTTCACTCAACTCCTTTGAGTATAAACGCTTTTAGCGGAAACACATCGCAGTCAATACCTACTACTAACCCAGGTGTATAGCAATACCTACAACTGGCACAGACCGAGCGCACACGTACTTAAGTACATATAATTTACTTTTAAACAAGAACGCGCATTGCTCAAAAGCGCAGTTTGCTTGCTGTCAACACTTAAGACATGAACAACGATGCAAAACAGAAAATCTATACTGATGTCCTTAAACCAAAGTTCCATGCTAAGCGAAACCCAAATATATGTACTCCTGTAACGAGAAGTTTTTTCAGACAAAATGCCAATAAGCCTTTTAAACGTTTTTGGGGATTAAAACTCATTGATTAGTTTATTGAATAGTTGCATTAAGATTTGCATATGTACTTGCGACGCTGACTACCTAACTGGAACACAATGCCATAAAACTATTTGGCTATTGCTTATTTTCTACACATTTTAATACCCTGAACCCATTAAAAATGGGTATAAGGGTATATTGTATTTCTGTAAAATCCAAATGTATGTAACAGGCAGAAGGAAGCATCTCCGACCCCAGCATCAATAGCCGAGTCGATCTAGCCATGTCCGTCTGGCAGTCCGTCCGTCCGTCCGTCCGCCCGTCCGTATGTAAGTTAATTCCAAAGTTTATTAAACTATGAAAAAAATATTATTTTTAGGGAAGCAAGACTTCCTTTATTTGATGGCAATTTGCAACTGAATAAACTTAAATCAATTCTAGCCCTAGTAACCTGTGGCTTAGCGGCAGCGGCGTTGGCAGCGGCGTCGCTGCTGATGTTGTTGGCCCGTTGGGCAATTCTTCTTGGAATTTTCGGCGGTTGCCAGTCGGCGCGTGGAGGAAATGGCACAGACACCAAGTCAGCATTTTGCTGCACTTCTTATGAGGTGTTGCAATGCTTCTTATTGGGACTGTGTGAATTTATTTGTTGTTAACTTGTATGAACGCACGGATCTCAGAACCTATAAGAGCTAGAGATGTAAGAGCTTTTAGATGTAGATGCTCCTAGTTCCCGCACAGATCGAGTTTGTTTCCGACAATCGATAACTTACTCCGTTTCCAATAAATCGATAAAAATGTATATCGATATCATGTTTTTTGGCAATTTTGGTAAATAATAAGAGCTAGAGTCACCAAACTTGACATATAGCTTCTAAAATAGAATATAAATATGCATTTGATGTTGGAAGAAGAGGGTTCAGGGTATCCCCTAGTCGGGAGATCTCGACTAGAGCCTCTTACTTGTTATCCATTCAAATCGTTTTATTTGACATTTTTCGTAATTGAACGCATTTACTGGGGTTTTAATATAGCAAGTGAGACCACAAAATGAAATGATAGGTAAAAACTCAAAATCAATTAAATGCAATGCAATAGAAACAAGTCAGAGCGTTTGTCGAGAGTGCACGACGCGGGGATACCCTAACCCTTCTACCCATACCAGACTGTACATTTTTTTTCAATTTAATTGTTAAAGGGATGTCTTAAAATGTATGCAGAAATTCCTTCTAGTAATTACCTATGTTTACTTTAGTCACTTTTGTGTTCCTTAACCATATTTATATTCATATTTATGGCCTAAATCGGCTATTGATTCTGACAAATATAATCCCCATAGGGTCGGTGATTCTTCCTTTCACCTGTAAAATATATTTGCACAAAGCCTTGCCTTTTTTTCAGTGTATTCAAAGTGAAGTTGGCCAAATATGAGAAGAATTATGTAGTTTTACGAATTGATAGCAAGTATCCTTTGCGTGAGCATGCACGATGGACTTGACTTACACTAAATGAATTTGTGACAACCGTTTCATAAAACGTGTATCAACTGTCAATGGGATTTATTTCATAAATAAATAAAATATAGGAATTTAAGAATTTATGATGAAATTGACTGTACGTAACAAATAGCATTAAGGAGAATTTTATATTTCTTTACAAATTTCTTTGCGTTGTTCGCTAGTAAGCTAGTTATAAACCTATTTCTAGTCGACTGTGCCATTTTATTTTTTCTTGTCAGATGTTCGATCAAAGCAATAAAGGTCCAATTTGACTGAACAGAGTGCAGCATTTTCTTCACACACTTGTTCAAAAGCACTTACACACATACGTGGGCTTGTTGAAGCATTTCTGTGTGGGATATTCAAATTTATAAATTATAAAATTTTATGGCTTTGAGGCGTAGTATGTGCAAAAATATTATTTTACACACGTCTATGCCCAAGCATATTTTCATGCATTTGCGCAGTTTATATTCCTGGTTGCCACACCCATATTCAGACAGACCAAACGACTTAGAGGGTCTGCACTTTAACATAATTTACTTGAATTTAGGTTGCCTAAAATTTTAGCCTGACAGTACCGGCAGGGTATCAAGGTTGAAAGTTGGACAGAGCCAACCACAGCAGGAGCGGCGCTTATCTGAGTTATGAATATGCAGGTTCTTATCGCGTGAATACGAGCATGTGTGCGGCTGTATGACTGGTGTAAGTAAGCATAAATGTGCCGTCCAAGCAAAATTTGCACAAGATTTAAGCACCTGCAAGTTTTATTTATCACTAATCCATTTTTGGGCAGTGCACCTAAGCAAAACTTAAATTTTCAAAAACACCTTTCGTTCATAGTTCATAGTGGTTCATAGTTTATCATGGTTCTTACTCTAAAGTTTATTGCCATTTTAAAACTAGCTAATATCGATTGACTATGCATATCATTGTCTCCTAGTTTTATGAAGGTCGAAATAAAACATAGTCTTTAGCTTAATTCATATGTTAATTTATAATACATTTTACTCATCCCACTCAAACCCCCAAAGCATTTAAAAGTATGTAATATTGCAATTTTAAATAATTAAAAATTAATTTTTAATTATAGATTGCCGCTCATGCAAAAACGGTCAGCTCGACAAGTCAAAATATAAAGTCCCATTTAAAATTATTACAGCACGAACAGAGTTTTAATTTGAAATACAATACTGTGATACATAATTGTAAATCCAGTCATTTAGTCTAAATTAAGGTGGCTTCCTGAAGTTCGATTCCCCTACGTTTTTTTGTATTCCTGCGCATGACAGCAATCTGATACCCATTTTAGGGCTATAAATCCCCTGTTTTCACTATCTAATACAGATTTTACCGAAATTAACCACAATACTTATACACTTAAACAAATATATTCCGCAATCAAACCAAAGCTGTATTCAATTTTAATGAACCCATCGCATTAATATACAACCAACGTTTTGAAATACATAATTGATGAACTATCGGGTAAACATCTTTTTGAATAAAAAATAGTATAGAGAGCCTGACGAGGAGATTCCTTGGCCCACACACGAAGCTGTCATTACAAGCATTCTATGTTCCTTTTTATGTTGTTGGAAGCGCTTTTATGATTTCATTCGGTGTTTATTGTCCGATCATTATAAAATGGTTGGGTCATACTATGACATCCAAATATTTGTAAGTGCCTATGCACATGACTATATCTCTAAAAATTAATTTTTTCCATTTTTCGGGAAACGGTACAGCTGTGACAGAAATATTATGGATCTGTGTATGCTATACGATATGGAACAAATACAGAATTTCGTTAAGGATTTTATGAAAACGGGCCAAGAGAGATCGATGTGTTTATTCATCCGTCCTTCTATCCAGAAGGACTACGTTATTGATCCTGAGTAAGTTTATGTATTGTATTTGATTTATTTATTAGGATGGTTTTTAATACATTCCATGACTTTAATTTAATATTATTTCAACTTCTGCTCGACATTGCAAGCTAAACTCCCTGATTGCATTTCTCTTTATGCATCAATTTATGTCTTATACTCATATCTTATACCACTTTTCGTTACTTTATGGTCCCTGATATGATTTCGTCCTGTTGCACACATTGGCAAAAACCATTTAAATTTTTTCCATTTACAATGATGATTTCAACCAAGCTGGGTCAAGTTTTATATTAAATTACGATGGAAACGAAGATCACAACAAATGATTAATGTTGTAAAAGGAAAATCTGTCAATAGATTAAAAGAGGCCGTGCTTGAAGTTTTTTTATATCCAGCAATCATTTATCACATGCAAGGTGGACACGTGGGGAAATCAAAATGGCTTCCGATCCGGTTTAAAGTGCCGATGACTAAACGGAATATGTGATAATATACAAAGGGGGTAACAATCCTCTAACATTTTGCAGTTACCTATTGTTGCTTTTTGATTTGACTGACCCCGAAATAAAAAAGAAAAAAATTAGAATCCACTGACGCAACGAATGGCCCTTCAAACTTACACTTGCATATATGGCATATGAAAAATGAAAGGCAAACTGCGAATACAATAATAAATAAAGCCACTGACTGAAACAGTGCAGCCTTTATTTCCAGTTTTTCTGCTAGTGCTCGAACAACTGGCTGACTGGCATATGTCAATCAGAAAACAGAGCCATAATCTCTGCTTGACATGAACTTAAAAGTATTATGACAAATATTTCGCAATCTGTGCGCTACTCTGTCTCTGAATTCACGCTACTGAATCCATTCTGCACAAATTTGCATGGGGTCTTCCTATTATGGCATAAAATGTGTAACGTTCTTCAATAATTTTAGATGTTTTTTCCCCTAAGGTCTTTTGAAGTACATAATTAAGAAAAAGAAATTTACCATTAAATTTGCTTATTTGGATTACAAGTGCGTTCAACATGAAATAAATATAAAACATATATCTGTGAGGGCTTTAAATGAATGCCCCCCTAAGATAGCTTCTCTTCTTTAAGTTCACATATTTGATGTAATGTATGTAGAGTGTATTATGCTTGGCTTCTTGTTGCCAGTGCAATGGCAATGCACTGTGTTTGTGTGTGTGTGTTGTCCTTGTTGTTACTTTTACTGGACTCTGGCATTTGTGTGACGCACAATTCTGTTTAAATAAAAATCATTTCGTTGCAAATACCTTATGACATATTTCTGTTTTTGACATGGCCTTATTGTAATGTTGTTGCTGTATCACCCCTAACAAGCATGCAAAATACTTTTCGAAGGCCTTTCACTTGTTGGAAGAAAACCCAGAGCATATTGTCGCTTTCGGGCAACTGGCGCGTATCCTTTTATTTGCTCCTTTTTTTGTACACCGGACATGCGGTAAATCAATTTTTATTTATTATTTTATGAATTGCAATCGCTTTTTTTTTTTAATTTTTACTCTCTTAAGTTCGCATCGTTTGCATGTGTAGCTGTTACCCGATTTAATTTACTGTGTGTATGCCTCCAACCGCCAAGCCCGCTTATCGCTTAATTGAGAATGTATCCGCGGCCGTGCACAACGTGGCACGTAATTTTGTGGTCATTGCAACGAATGCTGGCAGCCATAAAGCAAATAAAATATTTCGTTGATGAATACATTCCCGCCGAATCTCAAAGGGCAACCAGACCGACTTACTGTAGCTTGCTTATTCGAAACTTTAAAAAAGTGTGAATGGATCCTTCGGGCTGAATTAGAGGATGTAGGATGACGTATGATTGCTTGTCGTTTGTTTGACCTTCCAAGGTGATGTTTTGTGGACACATTAAAAAAATTAGATATTAATTAAAAGTTAACGAAATTATATAACCGAAAAACAATAGTTAACGTTGCCAAACACATACGACAAGAACCACAACTTTATTTCAACATACACATCTGGAGTGGTTGCAAACGTGAAAGTGTTAAAATGGCTCACTTGCTTTGGGGCTGACATTTTACTGGATTTAAAAAAACATGCTGAATTTTTTTAGCAAACAAACTATTGTAATCTATGAGTTATCCATGTGTTTGTACGATTTTAAAATTTTTAATTAGTTCAAAACTTTGAGCAATACTTTTGCAAAACGCTGTCGTGTTGCCTGCCAATTTTGTTCCTGCCTTGTTTCTATTTGATAAAGTTGAGCAAATCCAATTATCAGTTTTTAAATAGAATCTTATGCAAATGATGCCTATGCCAAAATGTAAAAAAAGAGACAGAAAGCGAATGTGTATTTGTGGTTTGGTTTTTACATTGGCAAAGCCAATTGAAACTTGAGGGCGGCTGCACGAGTCATTTGACTAGAAACCTAAAGTAAACCTAAGTTCATGCAGCAATGAAATTCTCGGCGTATGGAAAACTTAAACGGATACGAAAAACTAGTAAAATATAAACTTTTGAGTGTAAGCGTTTTGTTAATACAAACCCACAAATTTGTGGCAATTTATACCCAAAATTAAATAGTCTCTGTGTGTCGACAGTTTAGTAATTTGAAGCTGCATACTTTATATAGGAATTTTTAATTTGGGTAGTAGTGTATAATATTCAGTCAGAAGCGGATGCGATTTTGTGCAAACCAGAATTTAAATGAAAGTAACGTGAAAACTAACAAGTCTACATATAAACGAAGGCCGTAAATGTAAAGGTATAAGGATTGCTTTCTTCATAGAGGGCTGGTTTTTCAACATTTGAATTAAACGCTGTTGATACTGACTCAAAAGAGAATCCTATATTTTCATACATTCTCACTACTTCCCACTACTCCAATGTTCTGACGGAATTCGTTTTGCATACTTAGGAGGGACCCACTTGTGAAAGCCTAAAGTCTAGTGTAATTAATTACTAATTACTAATTACTCAACTAATATTTGCTTTAACGCACACACAAGCTTAAGATGAGGAAGAAACCAACCACATAAATCTCGCATTGGTCCCCATTAGACACACACCAGCTGCGCAAGCTGGGAAACACACACTCCCCATAACTTCATAATCGACCATACTAAGTCGACAGTTCGTGCATATTAATAGGCCATTCAGTTACAGAACTAACGAATTTTCTGTGTGAAAAGGTTTGAAGCTCGGGCAGTTAGACAGATATTGAGCTGATTGTAGGCTTTAGAATGCTCTGAGAAAGACCTTTTAATATATTTTTGCAATCTTAGGCTACTGACAGGTTTGTCCAGGGTTAATACTAATTGATAACTGCAAATTGCGACACAATTAGCGTACTGGATATTGTATAAGAAAGTTGTTGAGCAGCAAACTTGCCCTTTCATGCAGAGTAAGAGTCAAGTACTAAACTAACGAAGCTGGCTAGACATTTGTTATGAAATTTTCAGTAAAAATTTCTGCAAATCATTTAGCTTATGCTGACGGCCAGAGAAAGATAAATATTAATAACACAGTTGGCCAGCTAGCAAAAGGTGAAGGCTGAGCCGAGCCCCATCGCTAAGTTGCTGCCGCAGCAGTTTCTGTGTGCGGTTCAGTTCGCAAACTAAGCCCGGGCGATGCTGTGACAGGGAAAACCGTGATAGACAGAGTCAGAGTCATAGTCCGATCTGAAAATTTTAAACAATAATGGCAAAGTGCGGGGCATAGTGCATAAAGTGGAGAAAGGCAAGTGAATAGTCGAATAGTTCTGTTGTTGATGACAATACAGAATAATGAAGGGCTGTGGAAAACAAAGTAAGCGCCAAATAGCCTCGGCGTATAATAAAGTAGAGCCAAGAATAAACTGAGAGGTGAAGTGTAAGCAAAAATGAAAATGTTTTATTGTGAAGTAAGAATATCTGTATGCTATGTACATGAAAAATGCAAGGCCGTACTTGACTGGCTTAACTGGCAAGCCGCACAGCTACCTAAGCCGCCTGCCCTATCCACATGGCATAGCTAAATATTAAAATTCATACGCCATGTTGTACGGTCAAATCACTTTCAGGCTGTGGCCATCCACGCCCTAGTTACTGACACGAACACAAAACGACAACTGCGACGATTTTCGTATGACAAACAGTAGAACAGCATATTTTACATAGAGCATTTGAGGCCAAACGATACAGCTGCACTGAAACAATTGCACAATTTATGTGGCATTTAGTATTTGCACATCATTCAAGTCCGACTCAACTACCATACCATACCCGGCCCCTAATGCCTGTTGGCAATCCAACGTCCTTTATACGCCTTTTCCAAGTTTCAGACAATAACATAAAACGAGCCGTTAAGCATTAAAAAAAAAAAAAGAATATGCAGGTCAGACACTCGCTACAATTCATTTGAACCCCTTCCCAACACATGCTCGACAACTAACCTGCAGAAATATTACAAATTCAAAATGCTAAATGTGCATTTAACTTATGTATTTATGTAAATCCCTCGAAATTATTTTGCCCTGCGCCCACAAAGCCGAGAAACTGGGAGGACCAGGACAGGTATAGTGAACGTAGTATTGCCACCAAAACAAACTGCACGTCATTTGAATAAGCATACCTTTTCGAGGATGTATGTTTGTTTAGTTATCTTACTTTTGCCACGAACTGTCCACATGCACACTTTCCTCAGCTTTGCTGTCAATTTTCAGTGTTTCGGATTAATGGCATGGACTCTCTCATCGTCCTGTGCAGATCCAGGGCTACCAATGGTCGAATCGTACCCTGTTTCTATTTTGCGTCAGTTTTTCATATTTTTGCCATATTTTCGTTTCAAACTATGTAACTCTGTCCTTTCGGTACCACATGTTTGTGTTCCCAAATCTGCACAATATGTGGAGAATACTCCAACTGTGTATGCCATACACGGTCCCAAAGATAAGTGCATATTTAAATATATTTGTCTGTGTGTGTTGGTCCATAAATAGTACTTGTGTGCAACATGTATGTTGGGCGACGTCCTCGGCTTCATTTTCATCATAACTTATTTACTTGGAAGCACCAAATAATTTAAGATAATGCAGTTGGACCAAAGTGCTAAATCCGATTTGGCCAGTGCTTTAAGGGTAGTTGTAAGATGGTAAGATATTCAAGCGGAACAATGCATATAACAATATGTAGATATATATATAACGTACATATGTTATTTCTAAAAGAGAATATTTAATGCCTCTGTGATCTCCTGCCTCCTTCAATTAAAGGTTTTCAAATGAACTACCAGCCATTTACGATGCCCTCTGCTTTAAATGCTCGGTTTCATATTCATATCGGTTTTTGCTTGATACACTCAGCCTAATCCTTTGCAAATTGCCGACGCAATATCGACCTGGCCACCACTGAGTAATGCCATCAGACTGACTGCACAAAGGGTCGATGAATCGCGGACTATTGTTATTCTATTTTATGCAAATCCTCGCTAGTCAACATTTTAGC